ACTTGTTCTTGTCGATTTATCTTACCTAAAGTCCAGTGAGGATAACATTAGCTAGATGGTGTAACATTGCGTCAAACACAAACCAGAATTTCTACTCCGTCATCAATTAAAAATAGAAAGAAAATATCGGGTCTCTTTAAAAAGATAACGCAAAAATGATTCTGTTTTAACTATGTAAAGCGTCTACCTGATAGAAAGACAATTTGCATCCTCGATATTCACTCGAGGCAAAAAATACTTTCCACAAAATACGGCAGATAATTACATATTATCATTTTTTTTTTTTTTTGCTGGTGGATTCGTTAAACAGAATGGACACATTTAACATACAATCGTTTACAAACACCGAGATTTTAAGCGTAGGTATTTAACATCTACCGAAGATTTAGATTACGGTTGATTGGTTTGGTGGTTGGTGACATGACTGACTGGTTGAAATTTGGTTAGTTGGTTGGTTGTTGGTTGGTTGGTTGGTTGGTGAGAGGGCTGTTTGGTTGGTTGACTGGTTGGTGAGAGGACTGATTTGTCTCCGTGACTCTTCCTATCGATAAGTAATTAGTGAAAGGTTTCTTAAGTTGTCTATCAGTAGTTTGACGTCATAAGGTGTATTGAAGCTTAAATGTATCATTCTTGACAATGATACATTCTTTACTTGTGTGGAGACATTTAGAATCATTTCGACTTTTATATTACATATGTATTGGTGCTATAGTACACTGTTGACATGTGGTATATGTAGTGGCGAGATTCGGGTAGGTGTAAATTGCAGCACATGATATCGTTTCTATTACTATTTCAGCCTTATAATGAATAGCACAAACTTTGTAATATTTTTAAAAGTATCAAATTACCACAGTTATCGTTAGGCAATAAGAGAAAACATTATATAATAACTATATGAAACTTTTCATATTCATAATCAGATCATATTACTGGTGAAAGGCGTTGATTGTTGTTCCAGATTTAACCCTTCCATGTAACGTGAAATATAGCTGTAATGTATACTGATAATACTTACTTACAAACGCAAGCGAGATTCAAGTCCGCATATTTTTAGCCATTTTGAGTGGACTTAGCTTGGTAATTGAATATGTATACTTATCTTACATTTACATATACATGTATATTAATTATCCCTTGTCGTTACAAGAGATTATTGTACAATTGTATATGATACCCAATACAACGGACAAGAACTATTCTTGTAGGCAGCTAGAATACCTAACAATTACACGCCTTCTAATTTTTATAGTACTAAGGGATTTTACACAAAGTTCCTATCCCAAACTGATGTACCCTTCTCGTTCTTAATTTCCCTCGGATAATAACTTGTTGTACATAAGGGCAGCTCTCGGCTGTGGTAAATATATCTAGAACACAGACGTAAAAAATTATATACGTATTTATACACTTAAACATAATTGGTTATACAAGTCCTGCTCATGTTAAATGTACGGGTATCGTATCCGTTCTTTCATATATCCAAACGTGTATTATTAATTGGTTGATATATCGATAATCGGGATAAAAAACAATTATAGAATCTAAATAAGTTCTTATCATTTTGCTACACGACAATCAGAAAGTGGGAGTTGTCGCCCTTCATACAAGATTTTTCTATGTTATCTAAAATTAATTTTGAATGAAACAATTATAAAATGTGTATCTTAGCGATAAAATTTCCGTTTTCTAACTGGCATTACGCGGCATAGACATTTAAAATTTTTTTCTCAAAGTTATTCGCATACAAACATATGTTTGTACATGTTTAGTGCAGAAACTTTAACCAGTGATATTCAATTCCGATACAACTTCCATGATTTGATATGCATCGGTTCAAATGTGTGTCTTTGAAGTTCTGCTATACATAAATTCCTATTTCACCAGTATTCATCACAGATATCTGTAAAGTTTGGGGTTTTTCTGTAGTTTAGATACATAATAGCGATTTAATGTCGATACCGTCGGTACCTCGAATGGAGCTCTTCAGATCTACATAATCTGTATCATTTAATCATGCACACACTGTTCCGTCCGTGGACTAGCAGAGCATGACATAATTGCACCTGTAGACACTCAATAGGTGTATGATATCATGATACGGAACTAAAGTAGTCTGGAGCCGGAATATTACATATTGATGTCGTCAAATGAGGTGTACGTTGTGTATATTAAGTACCATTTAAATACAGTGTAGCTTTGTGGGGGTACCAATCATATTCAGAGCGAAGGATTTAATATGCCTGCAAAAATAGATAAATAAACAAACAAATAAATAAGACAAGTTTTGGTGTTTTGTGAAGAGGATAGATCTTTCTCGTATATATGCACTGCTAGATTTTTGTAGCCCCCCAGTGTCTCTGGTATGCGACATTTCGCGCGAAGAAAAGTAATTTTAAATGGTTAAATCGAATTGTCTTTCTGACACAATTCGCCACGGGGAGGTAACTTAGGTCATTTAAAAAAAACGAAAATTATCCACATACTTTTTAAAAGCAATTTTGCATCAAAATTTTATAGACATATATTTTATTTCATATTCAGGGAACATTTCTCTATTTTCGACTTCCTCTAGAATGAGGTGATTGCCCTTAAAACTGTTAACATACATGTAGGTATGTCAATCTTAGCAGCCACATCCCCCTCGATATTTAACAATGAATAGAAACAAAGGTACTTATTTTACTTATTTTTAGAAACATCAGTCTGTGGTAGAGATATAATGGCGGTGGTGTGATTCTGGGCGAGCGTAGTACAGCCGATAAGACGTATCATATACTAAAATGATCCCCAAAGATAGTATCTAATCTGTTCTACATAAGTAAAGGTTGTAAAAGTATATAACACTGTAATGTAGGTAAGTTTGTATATAACCATGTACCTAGAGCGACAGTACATACCCATAACCAATTAGCTGCGTATATTCAACACAAGAGTAATGGACCTCGAGAATGTCTTTGTTATGTTTATAATCAGCACGTATTTTATCTGCAGATGAAAACAATCTTCATAAAAAATTAATAGCTTTCCTATCTCGAATATTGCAAATACATAATGATCTTTAAGTTGTTCTTATCAGAGATATACATAAAGTTTTCGATCTTCACATATATCAAACAACAACAACAACAACAACAACAACAACAACAACAACAACAACAACAACAACAACAACAAATTCCTAACTCATATATGATCAGGTCCTAATGTAATATGACTCTGAAAATGACATCTCAATCAAAGAATAACGGAGCAACGCCTTGTGCTAAACCTCGAAAGTCTTATTACTGCATTTCACAAAGGTGATTGGTTATTTTTCTCCTACGTTTCCTTGTTCCTCAATTTCTACTATTACAAGTTATGACGATGAACTCCAAACATCTCACCACGATCAATGACACATCTGAACACCGTAATCCGATTACATTAAGCATTAAGAGCTGAAGTCAGAGTTGACGATTTCAGAAAGGTAGCACGGGTTTGCTATATTTTTACTTGGGAAAGACAGAATTGTTTAAAGAAACTTTCCGCTATACAGCATGAGGTTTCGGAGTACATCTCCTTTTCTTACAAATATCAAAGTGAAGAAATTGAACAGCGGTTTTCATGTCGTTATGAACGCTTGGTCGTCATTTTAAATACGGATTATACCCGTATGTGATTATACTGACAATGTTTACATAGGTTCGATCAAATCCGGATCCGTTTTAAATTCAAATTACCTTAATTATCAACCTATCGACATTTCCAGTCACTTTGGAACATCTAAATGCCATCCATTTCTTTGCTTCTTACATGTGCTATTAGGCAAAATGACAAGTTTCGACATAGCTCTATTTCTGTTACGATCACAATCCTATAAACGCTATTTCTTTTGTTGTTGTTTTATGGGAGACTATAGCGAGAACGTGCCTTTATACGATTAAATCGTACATGTGAAGTTGTTTAAGGCTGGGGAAAGGAGTCAAGTGTGACGAATGTTTACATTGTGGTATATTTAACTATAAAAAAGCTAACAAAACTTCATTTCGTCACTTTCCTTTGAATTAAAGTCTTGCCAGAACTCGCAGAAAAGATTTCCATCAGATAGGCTACAAGGTTACACCGTTATCAATGCTTAAGTCGTAAATTTCGATAAAAAACGAAAAAGAATTTATTCTTCGCAATAAAGAGCTTGCTGTTTTACCAATGTTAAATTGTTTATTTACAACAACTAGTAACACACAAAAACCATTCGTCTCCCTCCGGTATTAAATGGATATATATATATATATTTATACCAAGCGATTCGATTTATTTTTCCAAAGTCTAGTAAAGTATTTTAAATGCAGAAATGAATTAAGTTCCATGTCTGTGCTTATATGGCTTATACAATATTTTAAACTGCAACACGTATTATCCGTTCTAATTAAGATAGATGATACATGTGTGATTTCAACGGCCTTTTTCATTATTTTGAAATCGTGTTATCTTTAAGTTCTATATACACTGTATATCGCTGATTTCGATTATTTTGTTATTTATTTATAACCCCTATAAACTGTACAGGTATTCATAACTTCAGATTATTGTATCCGTTTCCATGACAGTGAAACGGAAGTATAATTTTCTAAATACCTTTCAGTGGGAAAAGATTTCGATGAAATCTATATTCTCATATGTTAACGAAATACGTCCAAATATATACCAATTAAGCACAGAAAACTATTTCTATATATTGTTTCTTTTTCTTTTTTAATTTCAGGTCTCATACTTCTGACGACGCAATGGCGAGATTCAAATTTCAATCGTCCAACAGGTTCTCATGTTACAGTCTGAAATTGATTTCCCAAGATTCCATCGAGTTGACAACATCAGTAAGAGCAATCAGGGCTTGTTAATTCTAATGACGCATGCTGATGGTGCGGTTTGTCTGCACTAGTGCTATATTGATGTTCACACGTGATTTGACAAATCTTTTAAATTAAACAAAGTTAAAAAAAGATATTAAGGCAGTCAACATGAGTGGCTACTTACTCAAAGCATACCGTTCACAAGAAGTCGCACGTGAACGCAATAAGCGCGAGGACCGGAAATTAAATTTGAACTTAAGCGGCAAAAATGGACCGGAAGCGGTATACAAGTTCAATTTAGATAAAGTGAATCACGAGCAGCGCGTGATAGCACGAGAACTAGGTCGTATACGAACGATGGGCCCAGCACGAGCGACGGGAGACCTGCAGACACTTACCAAAGAACAGAGTATGGCAGACCGCCAACTAGAGAAAATCCGGCAGGGAATACATAAACCCACAAATAAAACATTACTGACACCAGACAAAAAATTCCATCATCCGGTATTCAATTTTACAGATATTCCAGTGCACGAAACAAATACAAATGTTGGTGCGAATGAGATGAAAAAGTTGAAAGAAAGTGCGAACTCTATCGCGGATTTAAAAGGTCATCCTATAGATAGCATTGACAGTGAAATGGACGGTTTTATGATCATCAAATATCTCGGTGACTTGCACAACAACACACAGACATACACAAGAACCCCTCCGCCCAGTGAAAGGGGTGCTAAATCTCCGGTGTATCGTTCCCCAACCAATCAGATCGATATCGATACACCGCGCTTAGCTTTTAAACGATTGGCAGAGATTGGCAAAATTGACTCTGATCAAGCGGAACAGTTCTATTCAGATACAACACGACAAGGCACAGAAAAAGAGGTTATTAACTCGGTGACTACCACTGATGTTCGTTCAAGAGAAGTGAAAGGGGGCGTTACCAAAGAACGAACGACAAAGGTACCAAGAGAACACAAACAGAAAGCAGGAAAGCAACAAAAGGAACAAACCAACATCTACACATCGTCACTGATAGTACCGGAAACAACACTAAGGAGTTCATCACAGTCAAATTTGTCGCCGAAAAACGATCTTTTAGATTTTGCGGAACTTGCAAACGTTGACATGGCTAGTGTACGAAAGAAGGTGACAAAGAGACTGTCCAAGGACTACATAAGTGGTCAAGGGTCAGCATTGTCTGACCCCGGATCTAACAGAAAACACAACAACCGTAAAGGCACAACGTCAGCTGATCCAGAGATTTCCACCGGTTCGCAACACAGCAACAACGAAATTCCTGCTTCTTCAGTAAAACCGGAAACGGAAGATGCACCCAGACCGCGTCCAGAACGGCGGATGTCTAAGCAACAGGTTGACGAATTACTTCGAAAGCCTGTACTGGACCCGGATATGTACAACGTAGATGGTTCCCTCAAGACAATGTTTACTCTTCCAAGTTTTGATAAATCATGGGAAGAGGCACAAAAAGCCCGTTATATACGGTCAAAGGAAAAACTCGAACGAGACCGTGAACTGACGACAAAGGAAATATTCTCCCCATAATTAGTGTAATAATTACTTTAAAGACGACAAAAGTTATCTAGTTACTATCTTAAAGAATGTTAATTGTGTCGGTTGGTCATCAAAACATAGTCATGTACTGCTAACGCTCATGTGTGATGCTCTGTACCACCGCTCGGAGACGTTCACTAATTCCAAGTTACACAAGATTGCAGGGATGATCGACATTAGTGTCTTTTTATTGACAACAATACGTCCTCGGTCGTTTGACGTTGTGAGCTGTCATCATGACGTCTGTGTTTTTATTTCGAACTAAATACATTGAATTAGAATTAACCAACATAGTCAGCATTGTCTGAAATGTAATTCATGGATTCAAATTTCCTCAGTGCCATTTTGATGGACCTATAAATAGTATGTAAAGTCGACTGTGATATATAGTATCTATTGTATTAAGAGATAGCGTTTTTACAAAAATGTTCCCACAGGAACTGCGATGTTAAAATGGGACAATGAAATCGTTATCTATATTCTAACTGTGAACTATTTGTATAACCTTTTCACCTTGGCATTTTGGTTCCGTCTGTTCCCAACAGTTTGTGCCTTGTGTAAATGTAAATATATCGAAATGTTGTTCTTTTTGTGTATACAGTTAAATGTTATCAACAAACACATCGTGTTGAGCGGAAGCCTTTGTTGACAGCCTTAATTTCCTGTATGGAGGTTGGTATTAATCTACCTGGGGTCGTGTTACCTGTATTTACAGTCTTTGTTAGAGTTTGTTGTTTTCATTATTAACTATGTTACAATCATTCATTTAGGCCTGGAGTCTTACTTTATCTCTAGAATATAATGAGATACAAAAGTCAGTATAGGAAACATATAATAAAATATATGAATGAAGATAATGAAATAAGATGTTATTTGATTTTTTTATTGAAAGTTAGAAGTAGATGCAATGAATGTTTAAATGATACAAAACGTGTTAGTTTTAATTGCTTTATGAGAAATCACTTATCTTCAACAATGATATGTACTTTCGTTTTATTTTCACTCTAGTTTATGATTGACCAATGGTATAAGAGTCTTTGATACGACACAAAGTCCATGTAAGTGGGGCGCCGTTTTACGTTAAATGCACTTAAGTGATATCTCTTAGACGATTTGGTGAAAACACGAGTTCAGTTATTGATGACAAATATTGATTTGGTGATATCACTAAATTATTTGGAGATATCGCTACATTATTATGATGAATTCACCTAAAAGTCAATTGAACTGGTGATGTCACCATATTAAATGAACTGGTGATGTGACTATATGAACTGAACTGGTGATGTGACTAAATAACTCAACTGGTGATATCGCACAATGAATGTCACTTTATTATAGTGATATCACCAATTCAATTAGTGATATTACTAAAACGATTACACGATATCACCAATTGACCAGGTTTTATCACCTAATATTTCTTATGTTGTTACTTAAGTGTTGTAAAACAACAACCCATACATTCGAGTCAATCCCACCAACATTTGCGTAACTATCTATAGATATATTCTAAATAAGTTTCTTGGCATGATATGTAATACAGTTGATAGAGTTTGCTATTACCTGGATTAGAGTTTATCAATTGAACTTATGATTCCCCAGACAGAATAATTATCAGAAAAGTGTTTTCTTGGTAATCACATGACTCGGTTCAGGTGTGAGTCACGTGATAAACCCATCCCTAGCTATATACATATATGGAAGATCAAAATTTCGAACAAAAACTTTAAAATACAGTTTCAAACGATTGACTTAGTAATGAAACCTGTCCCCACTTGTATAAAACATCTCAACTTGAGATTTCCTCAAGTCGAGATTTTCCTCTGCTGATATCTCCTCAAAAACGGCTTGTATAAAATTTTCTCAAGGAACAGGAGGAAGTCCTCGGCTAGGACGTCATGAAATTCCTTGATGAATTTTCATACAAGATATTTTCAAGGAGATATTAGCTGAGGAAAATCTGGGCTTGAGGAAATCTGAAATTGAGATATTTTATACAAGTGGAGCCTGAAATGTCTTGCTCTTATTAAAATGCTAAACTGGACACATACGATTGCTGCTAACTATCAGCTTACGTATATCGCTTTAATATAAGTTGCCAATGTGTTTTTAATCTAAATACGCGAGCTCCTGTGCAGTAAGGTCGTGCACAACAGCAATTTTTCGCTACTGCATAAATCACGTGAACCCTTTATCATATCAGATGGTTCCAGAAAATGAAGTCTGTTAACAAGAAATGGATGTTGTAATTTGTACTTGTCATTAATCCCTTGTGAACAGTGTTAAGTACCTAAGAATATAGAATTCCAGTTTATATCTTATAAGACAAACCAAGTTCTATATAAAATGTAACGACCAATACAAACACGAACACGTCTTTTAACAAGTTCTTCATCAAAGTTAAATTGATGGGTCAACGCCGCATTTATAATAAAAAAAGGCACTCTCATAATGAGTTCTGAATGGGCGTTTGAGAAAGAACGTGTTTAGAACCAGCGTGCGTCACTGTTACTATATCACCTACGTATTAATAGATATCAAGACTTTGCAATTATTTACGTATGATGGATGTATGATTAAAATGAAAATAAAATCTAACAGGAACGTATAAAGAAGAATATTAAATGATCTATTCTGACTTTAAAGCCACATTGTCCCCTCAAATACAAATAAAGTTCATGTACGTGTTTTAACCTGGTCGTAAAAAGTAAATGTCCATTGAAAACCCAGTTAACCCCAAGCTAGAATGTAGTGCTTTGGTCGATAATAGCCGCTCAATAAACAGGTATACACAAATATGTTAATGTCTTTAGTAGTGATTTTATTGATGTCGTATAACCAATGAATAACACAGGGTATGACAGGTATGTTGGCGCACAATTTACAGCGTAGCTCGTGTCTTGTCAGGGAGAACAAAGATTTTCGGACAGATTTATTAATGGAAAATCATGTGCGAACCTTGTAATTAAATGTTGTCTTATCAATGCGCCACTGTTATTTTTGTTTACATACAGACAAAGCCTACCAAAGAGAACGACAATTCCGTGTTTTACAGGTATTGGCCTTAAATCTTCAGGAGGGACAACGTTAAAGTGATGACGGAAACATGTGGCAATTAGACCCTCCAAAGGTATGATTGAGTGAAAGCATACATATGATGGACCAATTACCAAAAAGACAGACAAATGGACAGCCGAAAACCATATAATTATATACCAAAGGGACAGACGAATGGACAGCGGCAAACCATACAATTATATAGCAAAGAGACCGACGAATGGACAGCGACAAACCCTATGATTATTTACCAAAGACACAGACGAATGGACAGCGACAAACCCTCTGATTATTTACCAAAGACAAAGACGAATGGACAGCGACAAACCCTATGATTATTTACTAAAGAGACTGACGGATGGACAGCGCAAAATTATCCAATTATGTACCATTTTACTAAAAAGACCGACGAATGGACAGCAAAACATAACCATTCTGACGGACCTATACATTTTTAACAATAACCTTTAATGGCAAGATATTCTAGACGTTCAATGTGGTATAATGTATGTATCACTTCAGCATAACAAATAGTGTATATACCTAACAAATAGTGTATATACCTAACAAATAGTGTATATACCTAATAAATAGTGTATATACCTAACAAACAGTGTATATTGTATATACCTAACAAATAGAGTATATACCTAACAAATAGAGTATAAATAGAGTATATACCTAACAAATAGTGTATATACCTAACAAATATGGTATATACCTAACAAATAGTGTGTATACCTAACAAATAGTGTATATACCTAACAGATAGTGTGTATACCTAACAAATAGTGTATATACCTAACAAATAGAGTATATACATAACAAATAGGGTATATACCTAACAAATAGAGTATATACCTAGCAAATAGAGTATATAAACAGTGTATATATATTGTATATACCTAACAAATAGAGTATATACCTAACAAATAGTGTATATACCTAACAAATAGGGTATATACCTAACAAATAGTGTATATATATACAGTGTATATTGTATATACCTAACAAATAGAGTATATACACTAACAAATATAGAGTATATACCTAACAAATAGTGTATATATACAAATAGAGTATATACCTAACAAACATTGTATATACCTAACAAAAGTGTATATACCTAACAAATAGTGTATATACCTAACAAATAGTGTATATACCTAACAAATAGTGTATATACCTAACAGATAGTGTGTATACCTAACAAATAGTGTATATACCTAACAAATAGTGTATATACCTAACAAATAGTGTATATACCTAACAAATGGTGTATATATCTAACAAATGGTGTATTTACCTAGCCAACGGTGTATATACCTAACCAATGGTGTATATACCTAACAAATAGTGTACATACCTAACAAATAGTGTATATACCTAACAAATAGTGTATATACCTAACAAATAGAGTATATACCTAACAAATAGTGTATATACCTAACAAATAGTGTATATACCTAACAAATAGAGTATATACCTAACAAATAGTGTATATACCTAACAAATAGAGTATATACCTAACAAATAGTGTATATACCTAACAAATAGGGTATATACCTAACAAATAGTGTATATACCTAACAAATAGTGTATATACCTAACCAATAGAGTATATACATGTATAAAACTTCCCGATTCTGTATAACAAACGATACAAGGTAATGGCGCCACACCAACAGAAGTGCACAAAACAGAGCCAACTATACTCAATAATGTACCCGAGTTAAACAAACAAAAAATCGAGAAAGAAACAACCGCCTTTTCTATCCGGAAATTATGTGCACGCCCAGTAAATAGTGAAACAAAATCTACTGTTCTATCAATAGGTCCCGAAACATGTACACTGACAGCCAGATCACTTGTGATTGATACTTGATAGATTGTTCTGATGTCTAATGTCTGTCTCAAATGTAAACCTTTAA